AGATTTCAGCTTAATTAACGTCAGGAAGTTTAATTTATGTAGCAGCTTTCACAGATAACAGCAACAAAAAGAAAAACGAAAATAAATATTTACTGTAAAACTAACAAGCTTGTGTTGATTTTCATGGCTAAAATGCATTAAAAACGATCAGGCATAAAGTTAGGAGCTTCACAGAGCAAAGGAATAGAAATAAGTTACATAAAATTCACATTTTGAATGTTTTTGTTCTTCCATTTGTGTTTCTACTGTTTCTGAAATCGACTACAGCACTTTAAGACAAACTCCCTGGTTTGATGTCCATAATGAATGTTTTGTGTAGGCCATTGACCCGTCCTAACACAATATCACCTTTAACACCAACATTTTAACATAAACTCTGAAAGGAGCTGCAAACCAGCAGTGATGAGTAACAATCACTGTTGTTCAATATAATCAACTAAATGATGAGAAATGACAACACAAGGATTCCTCAAACACGACCCTGAGGGACTCCACTGAGAAGCAGAATCTGATGAGATGTGGACCATCTTCAAGGACAGTCGCTTCGGCACCGAAGCCAAACTGGACCAGAAAGTTCTCCAGTCTGCAGACTTTAACACGCCACATTCACCTAAATCTGTTTCTTTAAAATGTTTCTGCAGAAAAGAAACAAGTTTCCCAGCTGCTGCCTTTTCTAAACTCTTTGTGAAATGTTTGATTCATGTCAGCGTTTCCCAGGTTTTCTGTGGTTCTGTCACCAGATTAATGGAAGTGCAGCGCTCGGTGAACAGGCAGAATCTGCTTTGAATTGTGCGACGGGGGAAGAATCATTAGCCCACAGCTCACAACCTGCTTCCCCACACCTGACCACACTGACACATATTGGTCCCTCCGACTAACCAACATGGCTACAACAACAAAACGGATTTTCTGTTTCATATGAAAACAAAGCAGATCATATCTGAAGACAGGAGGAGGTTTGACCAACTCTATTTAAAAGAAGGAAAAGGTGGGGTGAAAAAAGCACATCCTGCTTCCTGTGGTGCGCTCATCATTTCTCAATCTGCAGAAAAATAACCCAAATTTTAACCAGAACATTTATTTACGTTTGTTTCAAAGATGAGCTAATTTTCTGAAGTCGCTACAATCCTCCCCGACCGCGACCCTGCCTGACCCTGCCTGACCCCGCCTGACCCCACCTGGAGACGGCGGCGAAGACGGACTGTCCCCGAGAGCCGACGCCCACAAATCTGTCATCGTGCTCACCTGAAAGACGAGAGGCAGACGCAGGAAGAGAGGGAGACGGAGCACTTTGGGGCGACCGAGACGAGATCAAGAGGAGATCACACGGCGCTCCGTCCTCACCTGAGCAGGAGCCGCACCTCCAGTCACCCCTGGCGGCCAGAGGTCAACCAGAGGTCATGGGGTTCCACCACAGGGCAAAGCGCCTCAGTCCCTTTATACACACACGCACACAGCGCTCCATTCTCATCCCACATGCCCCCGTGACCTCACTATTAAAACACAGGAGCAAATCTCTCGATTGGTCACAGCGGCTCAGAAACAAATGATGCCGAATACCGAAGTTGTGCAGAGCGAGGAGGAGACTGCTGCTCACATTCCTACCAACACACATCCCAACATATTGAGTTTCTGGGAAGTTTTTTAGGGGCCGGGGATCTGCAGAGAGTTATGGAGACGTTCAGCTTGCAGAGAGCAGAAACGAATCATGAACATCATGTTGGCATTAAGGAGGGCTGCTTTTCAAAATCAGGTTTCTTAGCTTCATGTCATGTAATTCCCTCCAGCCACACCTGGAGCGTTGCTCTGATCCTTTAATCTCCATGGCAAGCAGTCAGGGCTGCCTAAACGCTTGCTGTCACCAAGCGCCGCCCATTTCCACAAACCTCCTCCTCTGAGCTACAGGAGCTACTTCTGCAGCTCGTTGAAATTGACGCTAATTTCAAGGCGTCAAATTGCTAAATCAAATTTATTTTGGCGCCACTGAACCACCATGTTGGTAGGAAAACAGCTCACAGTGTGATGAAACCCGGGCATCAGGTCCAACAGAACAACAAAGAGCAGGAGAAAAACTGGGATTAACCAGGAACTGCATGGGGCACCTTGCATGTCTCAGCTTCCAGATAAAAGATACATTAGCTCAGATATTGTTGCCAGGTCTGCTGCAAGCGCTGTAATAAATATCACTAATATTTATCTTACCCATCTCTTTTTCAAAACTATCACCATGTTCCGATCCTGAGGTTTAGCTCAGCGTATCCAAAGCAGCCTCAGCACAGATGGACCAACTCATGAACAGAACGCTGGATCTAAAATATCGATTCTGCGGGATGAAAGCGATGGGAGCAGATTCCTGATGTTTCAGATTCACTCAACAGTTTGCTCAAATGAGTAAAAACTGAATTTCCCTTCGTCCAACGTGAGACGACCATCATAATCTTTATAAACATAAAGTGAAAAATAAAGCAAATATTCCCCAACAGCTTGTTCACAGAGTCCATCGCCTTTCTGCCTTCCAAGATGGCCGCCAGCTACAAAGTTCCCAGAAGTGTGACGTCAACTAAGAAGTACGTTGGACTGTATGGCATACAGTTCTGAAATATCATTTGAAGCAAGACAATGTGATGCAATTCAGTATAAACTGATATGAAACAACATGATAAAATATGAGATTAAACAGGATCAATATGATCCTCGGAGTGAAATTCTCCCTGAATGACGTTCAAATCTCCCTGCAGCAAAGAACCTGAAAAAACATGCAAGTCATGTTCATAATCTGTTTTATCTTTGGGTTTATTGCAGATTCGGTTACGAATCGTGTCTGTTTGTGACAAACAGCAGGAAACAGAGTCTGAGGCTGTTTGTCCGTCAACTGGAGCTTTTGATTCTCCGTCTCTGTTTTATGTGGGAATAAATCGCAGTTTGTGTTTCACAGCTAAAGTTTCTAAAGTTTTCACAGCTCTTGAACTTTTCCTTGTTCTTCATGCTGTTTGTTCTCTGATCTCCAACTAACTTCTGACACTTTGACCAGATTTTATCCGGGGGCGTCAGAGTAAACAGGGCACAGCGCTCTTAGCAGGTTAGCAATTCTAATTTTCACATTTTTAATGATTAAAGTTGTTTTTTAACCAATACAGTAGGATTACAGTATAATACTGACAATATGATGCTCAGATGAGATCCTAACAATACAAATGTAGATGAAAATACAGAAAAATAAATGATGTATGAATAATTAAAAGATGAACTCCCAGCTGGACTGACCTGCACCAAGCAGAAAGAAAACTGAGGAAACTGCGACGGCTGCAGTTTTGTGCGGACTTGTTTGTACATTAATCTGCGGCAGACGCTGCCTGTGAATTCCTGGTATGATAATGATGTTAGAAAGGTTAAAGAGGTTTGAAACACTTAAAATTCTGCTCTGGAGTCAACAGAGGCCCAAAACCTCAGCAAGGGTTCAGCATGCAGGTGAAGGGAAGGTAGGAAGAGCTTCGGCTGCAGGTTGCTCGTGGTTTAGTCTGTTTGCAGTTTATAGGAAAACATGGAGACATTTTTGATTTGCAGATTCAGTGAATTTTGAATGCATTGGAGCTTCAGCTGCAGGGCTGCTGATAAAACCTGCAGGTCCCGGTTCTGTCCTGGCTGAAGACTTGATATCACAGGTTTCATTTCATGACTTTATTATGAATAATATTAGGAAATTGTGCAGCTTTAAATCCAGAAAACATGGAGGAACCTGTATTTATGTAGAAACAGGATGAGACAAAAGCACCTTCAGCCGTGCCATTTGACTTGTTCCTCCATCGCTGCTGTTTATTTCTTGTCTTCCTGTTTGTGCTCAGCTGACCTGAAGCTGTTCCTGCAAACGCAGAGCTACAGAACAGGAGCAGAACAGCTTCATGTATATCTGAATATGAGCACAGAGCTGTGTGTGTATGTATACATATGGCCGGGCGTCTCTGGTTGTGGTTTTGTGGGGAGGTGAGTGGGTGGGGGTGTGCAGAGCGCCGGAGATCACACAGCACAGAAACACAGAACAGACGGCTCTCGACCACAGCGCTAACATGTCAACAGAGATTAAACTAGTTTATTATTTTCAAAGGGCAAAAAAAAGAAAAAAATACGAAACAAAAAAAGCAGTCATATTTTACACTAGTGATTATTATTAATTTTTTACAACCATTCAGTCTGCATAACATAAAGAAATAATTCTACATCTTTGTTTCTTTCGTATTTTTGGTACTCTGATTTATACATACAAATAACAAATACAGAAACTTTTTTTCACAATGCATATAATCTGTGGGCAGAAAGAAAGTCTTTCAGGTGATCCAATGTGTGTGTGCATGTGTGTGTGCATGTGTGTGTGCATGTGTGTGTGTGAGCGCTTCAACACAAATCAATTGCCCCAGACGTATAGCACATCCAAAAAATAAAATAAAAAGGAAAAAAATCTAATAAAATAAGAGCGGCCGGCGGCACCGGGTCTCTGCAAACTTAATGCGACACATTTCATGCAGGCAAAATCTGAGGCCTGCCCTCTCAAAGTCTTTCCCTCTCGCTTCTTTTCCTCCTCTGGGACTCGGTGGAGTCTCTGCGCCTGCTGCCACTCGTACCCTTCTAGTCGTTAGCTGCTCAGGGGCAAGTTTCCTTTTTTTACTTAATTAAAAAGTCTTCATTAAATGTACTGTATTTCATACAATTTGTACAAATATGATCAGTCCGTCCTCTTCTTCAGCTCAACAAGAGGAGAGGAAAGGAAGCAGAGAGGGATGGGATCCTGTTTCACAGGCAGAAGGTGAGGAGATGCGGGTCGCAGGGTCTGGGCGCGATGCGGTGGAATGGCTTTTTACACGATGGAGCTCCGTGTCGGGTGGAGTCTGTGGCTGCGGCGGTGGAGGAGAAACGTCCGCTGGAAAAACAGAAACCTTCCCCCTGGAGGTCAGTGCGCCGCAGTCAGTCTGCAAAGCATTTACATCGCAGAGGTACACTTGGGTTTTAGAAAAGTAAGACAGAACCGAGGAGAAAGGATCCCGCTTGGGTCGAACCGAAGAGTCTGGAGCGGAGGTACCGAAGGGCGTGGAGGTGATGGGGGAGCCGGGGCGCCGGGGCCTTAACCCATAGCTGTCACCATACTGGAAGGGTGGTGGGGGGCGAAGGGGAGGCTGGAGGACGGGTGCATGGGTGTGGGGGTGGTGAGCATGTGGCTGGAGTGCGAGAAGGGGGGAAAGGAGGACATGTGGCGGGACAGGGCGGCCGGGCTGAACGAGCTGCTCTTGTCCATCAGGGCTCTTGGAGAAGTCGTCCATGTTGTCTTGGGACTTTTTGCTCTTCTTGGACTTACTGGACATCTTCCTGTTCCGGGTCTGGATGCCTTCCTTCTTCATGGTCAGAGGTCGGTTGATCTGCTCTCGAAAGGAGACAGAAAGACGGCAGATTAGTACTTTGTCTTGAGATATGAAGATGAAAAAACAAACATTTGTGACCAATTTGTGGCTGATGTATTTCAGAAACTCGACTCGTCCATTTCAGGCTGGTTTTTAGATTTATATCTTAAGATGAAACATTTGCAGCTGTGGCGTTTCCTCTGAGAGAGAGGAGGTCAAACAGAAGATGGAAGTGGGACGGATGGCAGCCACTCAAGCAGAGACGATGCCGGCCGGCCGGCCAAGTCCTTGTTCATTTGGGCATGTTGGGCTAAAATGGCTCCAGCTGCCTTTACCTGCAGGTTGAGCTGATGAGACTCTGGAAGCAGGATTGGGATTCAAAATAAAGCCGCACATTTTTCAGCTGACTGTCAATGATTATCGGAGGGCAAAGATCTCCTCTGGTTTCTTCCTCCATCCTGTGACTCCACACGGTGGGGTGGGAACTTTCTGCGGCTATGAGCTGCGCTACGTAAAGCCAGGCGAGCCTTTCCCCTTTGATGCCTGAAACTTCAAACGTCTGAAGCCGTTGACCACCTGAGGAACGACAGCGAGGCGTTCACCCTGCCCGACTGTCAAACCTCAGGCTGTGACAGAGTGTGAAAACTAAACACACTGTGAGTCTGAGTCGGAGCCCCGCCTCTCTCTGCGGGGTCTGCGGAGGTGCAAACACAAGCTAGCCTAATGCTGATGTTTTGCTTCCTAATTAATCCTAATCCTGACAGATCTATCCAGAATTCACTCCAAGAATCTGGAATAGGATTCGAGCTCCAACACAAATCCAGATTTACTCAAATAAACCAATTTGAGAATTACTGAGTCCAAACCAGCTCAGGACTGAAATGTATGCAGACACATGAGACTCTCCCTCTGGGTTTTCAAAGCTCAATCAGCTGCTAAATACAGAAAATACCAACTAGAAATAATCACTCTGCCAACATCTGGCGCCCACTCTCGCGTGGCGCCCCTGTGTAGCAGCGCCACTTTTTACACCACTGACTCAGAGGTTGGGGTCAGTTCAGATGCAAACAAGTAGCTGGAAAATCTTCTTCTCTGTGTTGAACTCACTTTCAGTCTGTTTTCAGTGGCGAAGCATCGGCCAAGAGAAACATGGGAAAGTGATTTAAGAGAGGGCGTTTGCGTGACAAGCAGGGCAGCAGGGCGGAGAGTCTCTGCTGCACACTGGGATATAAGCAAACTCTGTCAGAGGAGAGGGGAGGAGAGGAGGGAGAAGAAATTACCTACATGTGGCCTGAGAGCAGTTAGTCTGCTTATTATTATTATTAGCTGGAGCTACAATGGCGGTTTGATTGGAAGTGACAGCTTTGTGCAGGAGAGGGGAGATAAACGAGTCCCCGGGGTGTCCGTCCTGTAGATGTGAAATCCTGTGGTAAGACACCAAGCGACCCAAAACGAATCAGGCAGATTGGTGTTCAGAGGGAAACCAAGAGGGTGCAAACACCCAGAGAGAGAAACCCGCCCAGAAATTAATCTAATTTTAATTATTATTGAAAAGCAGGCAGGCAGGCTGCAGGTTGAGTCACTGCACTGCCAATAAATCTGACTTTGTGTTATCTCTGTGCACGGAAATTCTCTGCAGGGACAAGTCAGATCAAATATTCACAGGAAGAGTCCAGGATGAGGATGGAATATTCAGCAGATCCTGAGCAGGTTTATTACTTACATTGTGCAGCTTGAAGTAGAGGCCGCAGGCGTTGCACACCGGGTCTCCGTTGGCGTTTCTCCGCCACAGCGTTGTCGTCGTTGTCTGGCAGTTTGCGCAGGACGTCCCTGCCCGCCTGGCTGCAGACTGCACAAAGACCACGAGTCAGGTGACCGGAGCGACAACCAATCAGCTTCAAGAGTCACACAAACAGTGCAGCTGAATCCACCGGCCTCACAATCATTACAAACATGCGAATAGAAACTTCAGATTTCCTTTCATCGCAGATCAAAAGCACAAGTTATTTCCTCTCTAAAACACTGAAGGCTTTTATTTTCACTGTATATATTTTCCATCTCTTTATGCATAGAAGTGAAAGCTGAACATAGTTTAAAGAGCACAAAGACAGAAATGGCAGAAAAAAGAGCTGCTTTCACTGGGGCTCTAAAAATAGCAAGATGGTCGCATAACTCAGAGAATAAATATTTACAGAGACATAAAAGCTCTTCTGATTCAACCTCCGTCCTGCGCGTTTCAGACGTCAAACAATTACAGCCAAAGTTTGTTAATGCAGGAGAAACGCTGCAGACTGAGCGCATGCAGCGCCTTGACATTGATGTTCTAATCTCTAAAAGCAATCAATACCTACGGGTGACCGCAGAGGACAAGCCAAAAGCGAACGACTACATTATCTGCTGGAGGCGTTTCCAATTATGCGGCTGTTGGCCTAATAATCCGCTGCGTGCTGGGATTAACCAATCAGAGAGCAGCAGACTTTGAGTCCTTTCACATGTTTTTATTTTTATTTTCCTTTCTGGAATTTGATTAGGGCAGCGCTGGCCTCCAAGAATAAATCAATATTTATTGAATTCTTAAAACGCTGCGCATCGCAGAGATATTTTAGCGGGTCTAAACAAGCGCAGCCCGTGCGCGGCTCCGGACAGCCTCTGTGTTTTGACTGCGCCGTTATCTGCGCCGCGCAGACATCCGGCAGCCTTTCCTCTCCATTCCTTCCCTGAGACGTCGGCTTTTCACATTAAGGCCGCAGGAATAAGTCCAGAGGCCGCAGAGCAGGGCTGGCTGCTCACCTTCCTACTGCTTCCTAACGCTTTTCATTTTCACTAAATCTAGGGAACTCCTTTAAGCTCATAAATCATGAGGGGGTTTCCCTGCACATGAACCTCAACCTATTTTTCTGGAGCTCAGTGCATGCAGCCACATTCAGCTGCAGAAGAAGCGACTTAAAATACACATGAGTCCTTTTTGCACACAGCAAAATCAATCTTTTTTTATTATTAATCTGTATTATTTTCAGATAATGCAGTAATTTTTTTCTAAGGTAGTATCTGAAAACAGAGACCTGCACTTGCCGAGTCAATTTCCTGCAGCTAATAGGCCTACTTCTTCCTGGATAGAGGGGGAAACAAACACAGAGAGAGACGGAAACGTCATCAGCAGAGAGGAAAATGTCGGTGGAGGAACGTACCAGCCGCCGCTTGGGCTTGATGAGAGGGCGGTTCTGCCCGTTCATCTTGTGATACAGGCCGCAGGCGTTGCACAGATAGTGGCCCGTACCGTCCCGCCGCCACAGCGGGGTGGACGTGGCCCCGCAGTTCACGCACTCTCTGCCTTCTGCGTGCGGGAGAGCGCACAACGCGCGCGCACACACACACACACAGACAGACAGAAATAAAAGATAAAAACACGAACACGGGGTCAGGCGGAGGAGGAAATATAAAAATCATGTTGATGTCATAATCAGGGCTGGCAGGAAAAATATCCGTTAATATAAACAGGAATTTCATGATCAATATTAATAATACAGAGAAAGACATTAAACACATTGTTGGTTTTTTAAGGTCCTTAAAAACACAAAGCTACAGTCTCTAACAATCTGAAACATTTTGGATCATTTTTAAAATATCACAGTTTCTCTTTCATTCACCATCTAATAACAATATTAATATTTTCAGCGACAGTTTTTCCCTGCGGCCTGTTCTGAGATGACGGCGACCCTGAAACTGAAACGCGGCTCTCGCTGCAGCCGCGCTGCGATATTTGAAAGCAGAGAGAAGCTTTTTATGCAGCCACACTTCCCTATTTAATAAGTCACACACACACACACACACACACACACACACACACACACACACACACACACACACACACACACACACACACACACACTGCTTTAGATGTGTGGCAGACACACAGGCACCTGGGAAACTGTTTCTCTCTTTCTCTTTTGACTTTGCAAAAGAAAGAAAAATCAAACAGGAAGAGAGAGAGAGAGAGAGAGAGAGAGAGAGAGAGAGAGAGAGAGAGAGAGAAGAGCCTGATTTCATTTGGAATAAAGGAAAAATGTTCAGAAAAATCTCCTAAGATCTGAAAATATTCTGTAAATTCCTCCAGTTTTATCTGCATTGATCCTGGAATTAAAATCTTTATTTGAATTTTAATCCCGATGATATGCATCAACTAATCCAGCGCTGATTTTAATCTCATTACAGAAAACTGGCTTTTATCTGTTCTCATAATAATAATAATAATAATAATAATAATAATAATAATAATAATAATAATAATAATAATAATAATGTCTGCGGCTCAGCCCTCAATGCGGCGCAGCTTCCGGTTCTCGCGCTGGATCAACAAAGCGACAGTGGCGCGCGCTGGCCTGACAGTAATGGGATTATCTGAACATATAAACGAGCCGCCAGCCGCCAGCCGCCGTCCTCTGTCTGCGCCGCGGAGTCACTGCAGCTTCACGCGGATGGAATCAGAGCCTTTTATGCTTTACAATAAATCTATGAACGATTTTATTAAAATGGGAAAATGTCTGATTTATTTCAATTAAAAAATTATATTTTATATTATTATCATTATTACTATTATTGTTATTATTATTATTATTGTCATTATTTTATAATAATAATTATTATTGTTGTTGTTTTATTATTATTCTAGTCATTGTGATTATTCTGATTTATGATTCTTCTAGTTATGATTTTTCTGATTCATAATTTTTCTGATTCATGATTTTTCTAGTTATGATTCTTCTCGTCATGCGTCAGGAGCCGCGGTCACAGGGCCGCCCGGCCTGCCTGCGCTCTGCGGGTCTCTGTAAATCTGGGGAAACGTTAGAGCAAAAGGGAATGTAATAAACGCTGCCTACCTGAACAGGACCTTGTTTTTGGTCTCGTTTTGGAACCATAACTAGAAGATGACCCACCTATCAGGCTACTTGGTGGGAAGAGGCCGGGGCCGTATTCATAGGGTGGGTATGTGGCGATGGGGTGGTGGGCAGAGGTTGACCCTGCTCCGATTGACGCCACGCTCCGGCTGTGAGCTGATTCCAGTTTCATGCTCTCGGCCAGGGTCACCTGGTACTTTATGCACTCTTTGTCCTCCTGGCGCCCGGAGCTGCTGGAGCCCGGGGTGGAAATGCCCGGGTCCGGGGACACGTCTTTGGGGGGGGTTGGGGGGAAGGTGAAGAGGTGCGGGCTGGAGTGTCCGGTGGACAGGGAGGTGGAGGAGGCCGGGGGGTAGACGGACAGGCTGGCCGGGGAGCCGTGGTGCAGCGGGTTCTTGGGGAAGGGCTGAGGTTCCAGGGGGAGCTGCTGTGGTGGGGGGGGATCCCTTTGCTGCCCTCCAGCCAGGGCAGCGAGCTGTGCAGTAACGACGGGCGGCACACCTGGCTACCTGCAGCGGGAGACACAACAACATCAGCAGCCTGCTCGCTCCGCAGCAAATCAACGATCAGGTAACAGAAAGCTGCGTTTTCCCGTCTAACAGGCCCTGATGCCGCAGCAGCTCAGCGCAAACTGCGCGCCGCTGCAGAGGAAGTTAAGGTAGGAAACTCCACTGCATGCGGCGCTGCTGCCTCAGATGTTCATGCGATCACAAATTTCCCCCAAATCTCCACAAACTCTGAGTCCAACACGCGGCCTGACCTGGAAACACTCGTCCTCGCTCTGACCAGGCAGGTCGCGTTTCAGGTCAGAACCGGGAGGGAAACTACGAGCAGAAACTGAAACCCGTCCGGATCAAATTCTGATGTGAAACCCAGCCGCACAGGTTTGGCGAACAATCATCGAAAAAGCTGGATGATGAGAAAAGAATCCAAATTAAAAGGCCCCAGAGAGGCCGTGGACTCACCGGGTGGAGGAGGAGGGTACCTCTGGACGGCTCGGACCGAGTTCCCATAGTACGAAGAGACGTGGTTCCCCTGTCCATCGATATTAAACAGTACATCCACATCTTCCGCCAGCGGATACTGCGAAGCGTCCATGTACGAGTGGCCGAGGCCCGGGTGATGGGAGCCGGGATGCTGTTCGTTCAGCACCGCGGGATGATGGCTCATCCACCGAGGCTGGTCCGCACTTACTTCCATCGCTCGCTCTTTGTCTTCGAACCTGATTTAATTATTTCTGCTCTTCAGTAAAAGTTCATGTGGAAAAAAAATCGGAGCAAAGAAATAAAGAGTCCCAAATCCGTTTGCGTTAAAATCCAACAGGTTCCGCGGCCGGTTCCGATCACCTGGACACAGAGAGAGGAGCGTTACTGTCACTTTCTGCTGCTGTTCTTCATGCAAACAGAGCGGCGCACTCTGGATTCACCAGATCGAAATAAATGAATTCAAATTAAAAAGAAGAAACGCGGAGAGTTAAAGCGCAAACAAACATACCCGCAACAACGCCGCTGCCGCACGAACACGGCCGACATGGAATCCAGTTCGGCGCAAAGTTCCTGAACTCTTTCCTCTCAGAGAAACGTGACCAGAAATAAAAAATAAAAGATTGGAGTTTTCAGGCCGGTTCAACAAGTAGCGCAGAGCTGAGTCTGCGCTGCGCACTGAGCGGCACCAGCAAGTTCAACTGATCAGATCTGCTGCTGGCTTTCTCCATTAACCCCCCCTCTCTCTCTCTCTCTCTCTCTCTCTCTCTCTCTCTCTCTCTCTCTCTCTCTCTCTCTCTCTCTCTCTCGCTCTTCTCTTTTTTACAGTGAAGGCATTCTTTCAGGATGGCGCCAGGCAGCTCAATGCTCGCAGACAGCTGTGGCGCAACTTAAGGAGGGTCTGTCAGTGTCATCAGCTGAGGGGCGGGGCCTGATCACTCAACTCCAGCAAGAAATGCAAAAACTAAAAGTTTTCAATCACTTCAGATAAAAAAATAGAAACATAAAGCTCCACATTATTTATTAAAGGTTTTCAAAGGACACAGAACTTTAAAAAGGCGCAAAACCGAACAGATTTAAAGAGAAACAAAAATAGAAGGAAAAAATAGAGTTTAGAATATTAAGAAGAAATGATTATTTTATTTATGTGTCAAAGTGCTGCAGTGTGTGTGTGTGTGTGTGTGTGTGTGTGTGTGTGTGTGTGTGTGTGTGTGTGTGTGTGTGTGTGTGTGTGAGCAGCAGCCTGTTGCTCGGGACGCTCCTGTTCTTTAAACTGTGGCAGTGCGTCCTCTCGCGGCCGCAGCAGCGCGCGGCCTGGACGCACTGCGGCCCGCGAGCCAAAAACATCCATCATGTTTCATTTCTTTACGTGTTACAACAATTATTAACAGAATAGTTTGAGGCTCTCTTCACTGCTTCACTTTGAACACTGAAGAGGAAAAGTTAAAAATACTAAATTTAACATTTGGAGAAAAAACCTTGATTGATCTAATTTTATTTATTTATTTATTTTATTTTATTGATTTATTTATTGATCCTCTTCAAAACAAATTCAATAGAATATGAGGCTCATTTTCAGATTGAAAGTTACATTAATAAATAATCTTTGAATATTTATTAAGCAGAAATTTCAGTTTTATGAAATGGAAATAAATTTTCAGATGCTGATTTTCTTGTTTACATTTTATATAAGCAGAAAATTATGTTATTGATTTTACTCTGTTAGATCGATACTGTAGTAGCAGTGGAAATGTGTGTGTGTGTGTGTGTGTGTGTGTGTGTGTGTGTGTGTGTGTGTGTGTGTGTGTGTGTGTGTGTGGCATCGACTCCACTGGATGTGACGTCACTGTAAAGCCAGGAAATGAACCCGCACAGGGCGCGCAGCGGGAGCGCGCACGCCCATGGTGTGCAGCGGCGTCGGAATCAGCAGCAGCAGAAGCTGCAGCAGCATCTGCTGCTGCTGCTGCTGCAGCTGCTGCTCCATGAAGCTGCTGGATCAGCGGGGCGCCGCACAGGGGAATTCATGAGCTTCATGAGCTCAAGCAAAAAAAACACCAAGAATCGCAAAAATCGGCCTGCAGCTGGGATCAGTCCTCATTTAGACCAAACGGAACCAGTCAGAACTGGTCCAGAACTGGTCCAGAACCATAACGCATCACTGTGACTCAGAGTTCAGTACAATTAGTTTGATAAAGAGGAAGAGGAGCGAACCGGAACCTGAATCTGGTTCAGAGTCCGAACCAGACAAAGCAGCAGCCCGGCGGGAAAATAATGACAACAACAACAATAATAATAATAATAATAATATAATAATAATAATAATAATAATAATAATAATAATAATAATAATAACAATAATAGACATTGTGTTTTATTTCTCCCGGTTCGGGTGAACAGAGCCAGTCCGGAACCAGAATGATTGTCTTTCAAACATGAAAATAAACTGAAATATTTCCAGTTTTTTTCTTTATTTTTTGTCAGTTTTATTTGGATCCCAGAGCAAAATGTGAGCCGAGCTGCAGTCACAGTTCTGGTCCAGTCGCGGTTCTGATGACGCAGATTATTTCTCCCTGATTATGTCAAACATATCTGATTAAAATCAAAACGTCTTTTGTTTTGTTTTGTTTTGTTATTTTTTATTTATTTATTTATTTTTTTGCTGTGCAGCTCAGAGTTTCAGATTATTCTGCTGCCAGTAGATCAAATATTGTAGATTAGGTCTCGCTTCCGTCTGTGTGTGTGTGTGTGTGTGTGTGTGTGTGTGTGTGTGTGTGTGTGTGTGTGTGTGTGTGTGTGTGTGTGTGCGTGTTTAATCCTGAACATCACTGTTTCCTTATGAATAGAAATTAAATGACAACAAAATGATAATAATTAAATGATAAACAGTGTGAATTAAATTCAGCAGCCAGTGAAATAAATGTGTGAATATTTGTGTGTGTGTGTGTGTGTGTGTGTGTGTGTGTGTGTGTGTGTGTGTGTGTGTGTGTGTGTGTGTGTGTGTGTGTGTGTGTGTGTGTGTGTGCCGGCTCTCCGTGGTTCATATTTCTGCTGCTTTCTCATTTCTTCCTAAACAAAGTGGCACAAGAGTCTGACTAATATGAGGCTTTCAGCCTGACAGCAGGACGAAATGTTGAAAAACAGAAAAATGGCGCTAACGCGTTGCTTGTTTGCGGAATGTCTCCAGGAGCTGCGGCGCGTTGGAGCGCAGCGGGCCGCGGGTGAAGCCGGCCCTCGGCCGCCGGCCGCCGGCTGCAGGCTGCGGGTCAGGCTGCACCGGCGCTGCACGCATGTCGAAACCGCTGCAGCTCCCCGCAGGTAATCTATTTGTTACATCACTGAGTCATTTGTCACCTCGCTGCTCTTTTCAAGAAAAAGAAGCTGTTACTCTCTCTGCATGTGAACACAGGCAGCTTCTTAGAACAAAACGAGGGCGTCGAATTCTGCTGCTGAAACCTGAAAACAGAACTCCGGTTCCTAGAATGATTTAAACTGAGAACAAAAAAAATTCTTCGAGTGTAAAAAGGGAAAAAATAGAGCAGTTACTGTTTTCTGTCATTCTTTCCTACACTGATGTGAAAAAGGAAAACGGTGAGCCGCTTGGCCAAGTTCTGATGCTTATCAGCGTCTGAATCGCTGCTGCTGATGTAATCTGTCAGCCGCCGCGCCGCGCCGCGCCGCGCCGGCCTCTTCACTTCATTCAGCTCATCGCTGAGTTATAAGAGGGTGGGCTTCCGTTTCAAATTCACTCTCAATTTAAATATTGAATAAAAAAAAAAAAAAAACTCCCAGCAGCACCGACGGCCGGGATCCGACGGCCGGCTGGCGGCTCTGCGTACTCAGATATTTAACATTTAAATCTAATTCTGCAAATTTTTAAATTTTATTTTTTTCATTCAGAATTAAATAAAAAAAATATAGAAATGCGTCTCCTCCCTGATGCTGCCCTCATATCTGCGCCAGGTCGATGCAGAGCGACTGAGATGGAGGAAGAAACGCCGCCGGCGAGGTAATCAGATCGATTTCACGGCTGGAGCGGCTCCCCGGCCGAACCGCCGCCATCAGGTAATATCCCGCTAAAACTCCTCATCTGCGCTATTTTAGCTGCGGCGGCGGCGGCTGAAATTTGGGGGACTGTTCGGCGGGTCGGTCCGGAGAGAGGCGCGGAACGCGGCGCTGAATCAGGGTCGGCTCGGTTCGGATGGAGGCTGCTGGAGAAGCCGCCGAACCCGAAACGGAAAAACAAAAATGAAATTATGTCTGAATATTTCTGGTTCTGATTGAAGGCAAAAGTTTCCATCATTCAGAGCAGCAGGATCCGAGCAAAGCGAGCTGCATGAAAAAGCTACTGACCTGCCGCTGGACGCCGCGACGCTTTTCTTCTTCTTCTCTTTTCTTTGCTCCTTTTTGGGTTTGTTTTTTTCCTCCCCTGCAGATGAGAAGAAAGAAAGACTGAAAGACTGAAAGACTGAAAGACTGAAAGACTGAAAGACATGCAGATGGAGGCGCCGATGGCATTCAGAGACAGGCGGGGAGAGAGAGGCTGAGAGGGCGAGAGCTGTGGACGGGAAGCACACACACACACACACACACACACACACACACACCACACACACACACACACACACACACACACACACACACACACACACCGAGGCTTCTTACTGCGCGCTCCCGCTCGTGCACGCGCTAGGCCCTGGCTCGGTCCCGGAGTCATCAGCCTGATTATAAATAAGAAACGCGCGCGCGCATGTAGGCTACCAGGGCACGGCGCGCGCGCACGCGGCCTCGCCTCTACTGTATGAGCAGCTTCCGGCTCAGAAAGCAACTAGATGCTCCAGCCAATGGGAAGCGGCCTGCATCACAGGGTTAACCCGCATTATTCCGTTTCTTTGACATTTTTAGGAACATTTGAGGCGATTTTTATCCAAATCGATCGGCTGCATATTGAAAATTGATCCGTTTTTGTTTTAATCCAAATATAACAGCCCGGTGTTTTTTAAATGCTTCACTGTGCTTCAATAAATTACAGCTTTTTCCATCTAAAGACTTTATTTTAGACTAAAAATAGATTTTTTCCACAATGTTTTGTTGTTTTATCTGATAAATTTAAACCAGTATTTTTAAAAATTCTCATCCTGAACTAATATTGAGCTTTGAATCAATATTAATGGGAAATTTGTTCATTTTAATCTGAAAATCATTTTTTTCCATGTTTACTTGTTTCATAATTTGGTTTTGAATTGAATATGTATCCAGATGAAGCTATAAATATATTTTCTCATTTTTTTGTTGTTTTCTGAATAAGTCCAGACTAAAGGCCTGACGCTTTAATAAACGCGTCTTTTTAATCTAGAAGGTTTTCAGTCGTTTTCAACTCAAACTGGTTGATTTTGAATCGATTTTTTCTCCGTTTTATTCGTTTGATCAAACAGAAAGCGACTGTTGGATCTTCAGGGCCTTTCCTGACTAAATGTCAGCGTTGGAGTGAAAAGCGCCGTTAATTGTTGGGCTGTGCTGATAGCAGTGATCTGCGCCGCGGCGGCTCCTGTGACTCCGCGTCTCTTTGTGCTGCAGAAGGAGCCGCTGCGCCACAAAGGACAGAGAAGTGCAGCTGCACGGAGACAAATAAAGCCAGAAAAGCGGCGGGGTGGGGATGCAGGCTGAACTGCAGCACAATGTGATCGCAGCAACACGTTGGGTCTGCAGCTTGTTTTTTATTTATTCATTTTCTTGATGCCAGAAGAGAAGCAGAAGGCGCGAGCGGACCGCGGAGCGCAGAGCCCGGAGCGCAGAGGCCGGAGCGCAGAGGCCCGTTTATTGACAGCTCGGTTGATTGAAAGGAGGACCAAGCAAATCCGATCCTCC